GCTGCTGCCTTTCCAGTCAGACCCCATGGCTGGAGACAGGGGGGAGGCAGGCTTGCAAGGGAGAGTGGGCAGGGGGGCAGTAGCAGGGAGAGACCCTGCAAGAGGCAGGAGCCTGGGCGATGGTGCAAGGCGAGGAGGGCTCCATACAGCCCTGACAGCCCGCCCACACTCCCTTGCAAGCCTGCCTTCCCCCCCTCTGTCTCCAGCCGCGGAGTCTGGTTGGAAAGCCAGCAGCAGGGAGAGACCCCGCAAGAGGCAGGAGCGGGGGATGGAGATCTTTTGAATTTTTCCCAGGCTCTGTCGGCTGGGAGCGCAGGGCGATGGGGCAAGGCGAGGAGGGCTCCGCACAGCCCTGACAGCCTGCTCGCTCTCCCCTGCAAGCCTGCCTTCCCCCCACTCACCGAAGAGGTGGCCGTGTCACACACGAGCGTGAGGGGCGTGCCATTCATATGCATAATCTGGACACGCCCACCCGCGAGCACAGGGGATGCCCCCACCCCCGAACCGGAGTCCATATCCCTCAACCAGTCCGTGGTTCGAAAACGGTTGGGGAATATACCCCTCAACCAGTCTGTGGTTCGAAAACAGTTGGGGAACGCTGTTCTAAGTGCTTAATATATATGGAGACCAACAAAGATAAAATGTTTAGAAAATGCAATACTTATCGCTAATTTACCTGTAGCAGCCGAAGGTTTTAAACGTAAATTTAACTATGATAGTGCAATGCTATCAAAAGCCATCATTACAGGCAAAAAATGGAGATTTCCAAAACTCCAGAGAATTCTCTAATTTACACAAGAATTTTATTATAACTTTCTTGAAAATTCTAAGCACACTTTTAAGCATTTCTTACCATTTTGGGTTTGCTTTTCAGCAGCTGCTTCTCCTGGGATTCTCAAAAGAAAGTAAAAATCTACAATCTTGGGTTTGAGACTGCAAGAACCTTGCATGTGAATCTAATAGCTTTCAGCACCCATGTGTTGGATCAGCAATTAGATCTGTAATCACTGTACAGATTGCAGTGAGGTTTAGTGCCTTGACCTACTAGGCTCAATCATGAAAGCTTCCATTCTGCAATGATTACCTCTTGAGGGGAACATTAAAACTGTTTGGAGGAATGGTTCACATCTCCTAGTTCCACACGCTACAGAATAATTGTCAACTGTATAGAAGTCTGTAAGGGAGATGGATGGCTTCTGCTTCCAGGCTAGGTATTAATCACTGGCA